GAAAGATCCTGCATAACACAAGAAAGATACTGTATGCCACAACTAAGATCTGGTGCAGCCAAATAAATAAATACTTTTTAAAAGACTATGAAGTCTTACCACTATATATCTATGACAATGGGTTAACGAAAACTGACATCAAGCAATGATTAGGACAGATAACAAAATGAAACACATACTCTACGAGCTGGAGTGTAAACTGGTACAACCATTAGGGAAAAATGTTTTGGCAGTATAAGCTAAAGCTGAACATGCACATACCTATTACCTATCAATCCCACTTCTGGACATACACACAACATAAGCAATCTCTATGTTCACTAAAAGATAAAATTCTTGAAAAAGTGTAATCTTTGGACTTCTAATTCTGGAAAGATAAAATAGACGTGTTGTTCCCTATTCTTCACCGTGTGTGTGTGTGTGTGTGTGTGTGCACACAAGTGCACACTCAGTCACTCAGTCATGTCTAACTTTGCAATCCCTATGGAATGTAGCCTGCCAGGCTCCTCTGTTCATGCAATTCCTCAGGCAAGAATACTACAGTGGGTTGCCATTTCCTACTCCAGGAGATCTTCCCAACCCTGTGTCTCCTGCATTGGCAGGCAGATTCATCACCACTGTACCACCTGGGAAGTCCTATTTCCCACCATAAATACAGCTAAAACGCCTGGATACTATATATAAAACAAACAAGAAGTTTCTTAAAAGTGAGAAGGAAGCACAGGGGCTTGAGACCTAACACATAACATAGCAGCAACATTCATAGGCTTTCTTTTTGCCTTGTATATCCCAGACTGAGTGGTAAAGAACTAAGCGATCTGAAAACACCAGTGGGTGCTATCAAAATCTCCACAAAAAGCCTGCTCTCTAGCAAAAGGACCGAAAAAGGGGCAGACCAGCAAGAGAGAAAACTTTACAACAACAATCATTCGACTCCAGTCAAACAGTACAGACAAAATGTGGTGTACCTTCACCCTTGTCACTAAAGGCTGAGTGGGAAGCCCAAGCTTCTATCCTCACCTAATTGCAACAAGGCATAGCCAAAACAGTGTCAGATAAGTTTGAGTTAACAAAGTCCTCTCATCAATCCAGCAATGTCAGTGAAGACCTTGTAGGGAACTAGGATATCCATTCCCACCAAGTGGTTGTAAGAAAAACCCACTCCCCTGCTATTGGATTAGTATCAGAAGAAGTCAGGTGGACAATTAGGAATTATACCACAACTCAGAAGAACAAAATGGAAATCTCAGAACTGAAAAATACAGTAACAACAACAACAACAAAAACTCAACAGATGAGCTCAACAGTAGAGAACAGCCAACTCGTTGGAAAAGACCCTGATGCTGGGAAAGACTGAAGGCAAAAGGAGAAGGGGGCGACAGAGGATGAGATGGTTGGATGGCATCACTGACTCAGAGGACATGAATCTGAGCAAACTCTGGGAGATAGTGAAGGATAGGGAAATCTGGCATGCTGCAGTCCATGGGGTACCAAAGAGTTGGACATGATTGAGCAATTGAACAACTACAAGACGTACCCATTAGCAGAAATAGGTCACAGTACCTCTCTATCATTGTGGGTACCTCTGACTCTAAATAGTATAAATAAATATAAATAAAATAAATAAGTTAAAAAAAAACAGTATCAAGCTAACCAAAGACCCTGAGACTGTTAAAAGTGCTTCCTGGTCATACAAGGCATTATGTTACAATTTTAAAGCTTATCTTAAAGTGTCTAATGGCTTAACAATAAACAAAATTATATTTATTTTCTGAAAATTAACAAGTCATGAGAAAATAGAAGATGGATAGGTAGAAAAACAGACATAATCTTTCACATTTGTGAATTTAATCCAGACAGATTTAGATACTTAAGAGTAACCCCTCAAATCCATGGGGTGTTTGTGTGTGTGTTATGTATGTGTGTATGTACACACATGCACATACATTAAGAATCTGAATCAGAGACACTTTCTGGCAGATGTTTATGGGGTTCAATTTGCTAGTGAATAAGCCAAGGTGACTGCTCACCAACCATATTTCAACATTGTTACCTTACTAGTTATCAAATATGACTTTTACGGGACAAATCATATGCTATTATGACATTTACAAATTTGGGAAACTGAACAAGTCAAAGGTTCAGATTAAATTTGACAAGAGTAGGATTACTCAGTTAGAATTCTTTCTTCACATTCATGCACAAATAATAACTTTTTAAAACACTGCAAACAGAATACAAAAATGTATTTATCTTTATATAGTTTATAACCATTAAAAAATAACTTTACTGTACTCAATCCCTTTGTAAGCTTTCCAGACTCTATAGATTTTAAATACCTAATAAAAATATACTCTTTCCTATGTTCCAAATAGGAAAAGAAGTACATCAAGTCTGTATGTTGTCACCCTGCTTATTTAACTTATATGCTGAGTACATCATGAAAAACGCTGGGCTGGAAGAAGCACAAGCTGGAATCAAGATTGCTGGGAGAAATATCAATAACCTCAGATATGCAGATGATACCACCCTTATGGCAGAAAGTGAAGAGGGACTAAAAAGCCTCTTGATGAAGGTGAAGGAGAGTGAAAAAGTTGGTTTAAAGCTCAAAATTCAGAAAACTAAGATCATGGCATCTGGTACCCATCACTTCATGGCAAATAGATGGGGAAACAGTGGAAACAGTGTCAGACTTTATTTTTTGGGGCTCCAAAATCACTGCAGATGGTGACTGCAACCATGAAATTAAAAGACACTTACTCCTTGGAAGGAAAGTTATGACCAACCTAGATAGCATATTAAAAAGCAGAGACATTACTTTGCCAACAAAGATCCATCTGGTCAAGGCTATGATTTTTCCAGTGGTCATGTATGGATGTGAGAGTTGGACTGTGAAGAAAGCTGAGCGCCAAAGAATTGATGCTTTTGAACTGTGGTGTTGGAGAAGACTCTTGAGAATCCCTTGACTGCAAGGAGATCCAACCAGTCCATCCTAAAGGAGATCAGTCCTGGGTGTTCATTAGAAGGACTGATGCTGAAGCTGAAACTCCAGTACTTTGACCACCTCAGGTGAAGAGCTGACCCATTGGAAAAGACCCTGATGCTGGGAGGGATTGGGGGCAGAAGGAGAAGTGGACGACAGAGGATGAGATGGCTGGATGGCATCACTGACTCGATGGACATGAGTTTGAGAAAAACTCCGGCAGTTGGTGATGGACAGGGAGGCCTCGCGTGCTGCGATTCATGGGGTCACAAAGAGTCGGACACAACTGAGCGACTGACCTGAACTGAACTGATGGTCTAACTGGAATTTCCCTAGTTATAACCCTAGTGTAGTTCAGGACATGCTTCCCTGGTAGCTCAGTGTGCTACCTGCAATGAATCTGCCTGCAATGCAGGATTGGCAAGTTCAATCTCTGGGTCAGAAAGATACCCTGGAGGAGGGCATGGCAACCCACTCCAGTATACTTGCATGGAGAATCCCATGGACAGAGGAGCCTGACAAACTACAGTCCACAGGGTCACAAAGAGTCAGACACGACTGAAGAAACTTAGCACGCACACACGTAGTTTAGGGCTCTGCTAAAATTAAAACATGTTTTACACACAATATACTACCTCTCAAACTTTAGAACATTTATTAAGGCATATCTCAGCCATCCTTTCATTCAACTTATCTCATCAGGCCCTTTGCTGTCCACTTGAAACACTGTTAATCGTCTATGTGTGAGTGTGTTAGATGCTCAGTTGTGTCCAACTCTTTGAGACCTCATAGAGGTAGCTCACCAGGCTTCTCTGTACATGGAATTCTCTAGGCAAGAATACTGGAGTGGGTTGCCATTCCCTTCTTGAGGAGATATTCCCAAAGCAGGGATTGAACCTGGATCTCCCACATTGCAGTCAGATTCTTTACCACATGAGCCACTAGGGAAGCCCCATTAAATGGCTATACTCCAATACAAAACAATTTAAGAAAAGCTAACCCCATCTCTTCATTACTTTCTTAAAGGCAATGTTTTCATACACACACATGTGTGTGTGCAAATATTTATATGTACATATACACATATATTTTTCTTTTACAAATTCAGTTCAAGTATATTAATTGCTAACAGTTAAAAGCAACATCAGTAACACATATATAACACAACGTCTACCTACAGTGGTTTGAAGTATATTATTCAAGTTCCTATAATAAAGAGATCAAGAATACCTTCTTAACTTTAACAGTTGTGTCTCCAAAGATGATAAACACATGAAAAAAAATGCTTCTCATCAACTATCATTAGGGAAATGCAAATTAAAACCATGTAAGGTTCCATTACACACCTATTAGAATGGGTAAATCTTTATTTTTAAATATAATACCAAGGACGTAGAACAACTAGAACTCTCATACACTGCTGGTGGGAATGCGAAACTATACAGTTACTTCGGAAAACTGTTTGGCAGTTTCCTACAAAGTTAAACATAAATTTACCATGTAGCCCAGCAACTGCACTCCTAGATTTTCATTTCACTTGGACAAGTATCTACGGTCACACAAAACTTACACATGAATCTTTAAAACAGCTTCAATTTTAATTTCAAAACCTGGAAGCAACTCCAAGGTCTCTCGAACAGAAGTGGTTAAACAAACCACTCATCCATACAATGAACACATTCAAACAATGAAAACTATGGTAACAAACCTTATACCCACACAACAGAATACTATAATGAAATACAACTCAACAATAAAAAGGAACTAACTATTGACATGCAGTAATGAGGATGAATCTCAAATGTATTTTGCTATGTGAAAAAAGTAAGATTCAAAAAGCTACAAACTTCATGATCCCATGAGTGAATTTCCTAAAGGATGATGAAACCATTTTATATCTGGACTTTATCTTGTATTTGTCAAAAATTACAGTAGTAGACAATAAAAGAGTAAATTTTATTATCTGCAGATTTAGAATGATTTTTTAAAAATTATACATTAAGAAAATGCTTCTTACCTCACATTAGTTTCATCATTAAATTCTTCAGCCCATTTTTTCCTTGACTGAGCAGTTGTAGAGCCATCTAAACGGTAATAGTCAATGTTTCTGAGCCACTTCCCTTCACCTGAAAATTCAACAAAAAAACCAAAAAGATATGTATATATATATATATATTATCCTGGTAGTAAAAGATTTTTTGCTAGCCATTTAAGAGCTGTTTATATATACTCTATGTGCAGAGCAAGACAAATTTTTATTCAAGAGATAACTCATTGTATTACTAGTACAATTCACCACAGATTTCCTTCTAACACATATTGAACAGCAAAGGTACTCTCAAAGCTATTTCACTTACATGTAAATTTCATCCCTGATTAGAATCCTATAAAACTTTCAAAAGAATATAATTAAGCTGCATGAAAATTCTTTTTAATTAAGTCTAAAAATGACCAGGTTTCCCCCTTTGTTATTAACAAGTTGATACTAAACAGATAAAAACCAAAGACATAGAATGTATTTATTCATTCACTGAATAAATAATTACTGAATACTTATTTATGTGCCAAAAAACATTCTATGATCTACTAAGGTGAAATAAATAAAAGCAAAAATAAATCAATGGGACCTAATTAAACTTAAAAGCTCTTGCACTGCAAAGGAAACCACTAACAAAATGAAAAGAAAATCCATGGAAAGGGAGAAAATATTCACAAACGATATGACCAACAAAGAGTTAATACCCAAAATATACAAACAGTTCATACAGCTAAATATCAACAAACAGTTCAAAAAACGGGGAGACCTGAACAGATATTTTTTCCAAAGAGGACATACAGATGGGCATTGTTGTAGTTCAGTCAACCAGTCATGTCCAACTCATTATGACCCCAGGGATTGCAGCATTCGAGGCCTCCCTGTCCCTCACCATCTCTGGAAGTTTCCCCAAGGTCACGTCCTTTGAAATGGTGATGCCATCCAGCCATCTCATCCTCTGATGCCCTCTTCTCTTTCTGCACTAAACCTTCCCCAGCATCAAAGACTTTTTCAATGACTCAGCTGTTTGCATCAGATGACCAAAATACTGGAGCTTCAGCATCAGCATCAATCATTCCAAGCAGTATTCCGGGTTGATTTCGTTTAAGATTGACTGGTTTGATCTCCTTGCTGGCCAATGGAATCTCAAGAGTCTTCTCTAGCACCACAGTTTGAAGGCATCAATTCTTTGGCCCTCTGCCTTCTTCACAGTCCATGTTTCACAACCGTATGTGACCTCTGGGAAGACCATAGCCTTGATTATATGGGCCTTTGTCAGCAGAGTAATGTCTCTGCTTTTCAACATGCTGTCTAGGTTTGTTACAGCTTTCCTGCCAAGAAGCAATCATCTTCTGATTTCATGGCTGCAGTCACCATCCGCACTGATTTTAGAGCCCAAGAAGAGGAAATCTGTCATTGCCTCCACCTTTTTCCCTTCTATTTGCCACAAGATAATGGGGCTGGATGCCATCATCTTAGCTTTTTTAATATTTAGTTTTAAACCAGGTTTTTGACTCTCCTCCTTCACCCTCATCAAGAGGTTCTTTAGTTTCTCTCTGCTTTCTACTATTATAGTGGTATCATCTGTATATCTGAGGTTGTTGATGTTTCTCCTGCCTATCTTGATTCCAGCTTGTGTTTCATCCAGCCAGGCATTCTTCATGATGTGCTCAGCATATAGGTTAAGTAAACATGGTGACAAACAGACAGCCCTGTCACACTCCTTTCTCAATCCTGAACTAATCTGTTGTTCCATAGAGGGTTCTAACTGTTGCTTCTTGACCTGCATACAGGCTTCTCAGGAGACAGGTAAGATGGTCTGGTATTCCCATCTCTTTAAGAGTTTTCCACAGTTTAAAATGACCCACACAGTCAAAGGCTTTAGTGTAGTTGATAAAAGAGAGGTAGAGTTTTTCTAGAATTCCCTTGCTTTCTCTATGATCCAGCAAATGTTGGTAATTTGATGTCTGGTTCCTCTGCCTTTTCTAAACCTAGCTTGGATGCCTGGAAGTTCTTGGTTCATGCCTAGCATGCAAGAGTTTAAGCATGACCTTACTATCATGGGAGATGAGTGAAACTGTACGAGCTGACGGGGACATTAAAATATGTTTGACATCACTATTATTCAGTTCAGTTGCTCAGTAATGTCTGATGCTTTGGGACCCTAGGACTACCAGGGTCCCCTGTCCATCACCAACTCCTGGAGCTTACTCAAACTCATGTCCATCGAGTCAGTGATGCCATCCAGCCATCTTATCCTCTGTCATCCCCTTCTCCTCCTGCCCCCAATCCCTCCCAGCATCAGGGTCTTTTCCAAGGAGTCAGTTCTTCAAATCAGGTGGCCAAAGTATTGGAGTTTCAGCTTCAGCATCAGTCCTTCCAATGAATATTCAGGATTGATTTCCTTTAGGATGGACTGGGTGGAACTTTTGCAGTGCAAGGGACTCTCAAGAGTCTTCTCCAACACCACAGTCCAAAAGCATCAATTTTTCGGCGCTCAGCTTTCTTCACAGTCCAACTCTCACATCCATACCACTGGAAAAACCATAGCCTTGACCAGACGGACCTTTGTTGGCAAAGTAATGTCTCTGCTTTTTAATATGCTATCTAGGTTGGTCATAACTTTTGATTCTTCTATTTTCAGCAATATGGATGAACCTAGGAAATATTCTACTTAGTGAAATAATTTAGATAGAGAAAAGACAGATGCTGTATCACTTACATGCAAAATACAAAAAATTACCCATACAAAGGTATATAACAAAACAGAAACTGACTCAGAGATACAGAAAACAAACTAGTGGTTACCAAGGGGGAGAAGCAGAGGAGAGGGGTAAGAGAGAGGTAAGCGATTAAAAGATACCAACTACTATGTATAAAATAGATTTTTTTAAAAGCATATACTGTATAGCACAGGGAATAATAGTCATTATTTTATAAAACTTTTAGTGGCGGGTAATCTGCAAAACTACTGAATCACTATGCTGTATAAAAGTGTAAGTGTTAGTCACTCAGTTGTGGCTGACTCTTTGTGAACCCACGGGCTGTCGCCTACCAGGCTCCTCTGTCCATGGAATTCTCCAGGCAAGAATACTGGAGTGGGCTGCCATTTCCTTCTCCAGGGGATCTTGCCAAATCAGAGACCCAACCTGAAATTAATAGAGTTATAAACCAACTGTATTTTCATTAGAAAAATTAACACATCCATTCCTTTGAGAATTTAGACTAAAACAAACAAAGGAACAAAGTATGTCTTATCAAGTCAAATTTTGTTTATGTTCTAAGGACTGTAAACAAGATTCAAATATTAAGGATTTCTGGAATAAATGATCTAACTGTATTAATGATTCCCACAAATAGGATGTGTTTCTTTATTTTTGGCTGTGCTGGGTCTTTGTTGCTTTTGTGTGGGCTTTCTATAGTTGCAGCTACACTTCATTGCAGCATGCAGGCTTCTCATTGTGGTGGCTTCTCTTGTTGTGGAGCACAGGCTCTAGGGCACATAGGCTTTAGTAGTTGTAGCACACAGGCTTGGTAATCACAGCTGGTGGGCTCTAGAGTGCAGGTTCAGTAGTTGTGGCACATGGGCTTAGTTGCTCCACCACATGTGGAATCTTCCAGGACCAGGGATCAAATCCATGTCCCCTGCATTGGCAGGCAAATTCTTATCCACTGTGCCACCAGGGAAATCCTTAGTTGTTTAATTTTTAAATAACATTAAAAGTTTAAAAGTCTTAGGATATATCTTAAGGTGTATGCATGCTCAGTCACTCAGTGGTGTCCTACTCTTTGCAACCCCATGGATTGGAGCCCACCTGGCTCCTCTGTCCTTGGGATTTTCCAGGCAAGAATACTGGAGTGGGTTGCCACTTCCTCCTCCAGGGGATCTCCCCAACCCACATCTCCTGCATTTGCAGGCAGATTCTTTTACCACTGAGCCAAGTGGGAAGCTCCACATCTTAAGGTATATAAGAATAAATTATTCCCAGAGAAAAATTTTAAATTAACAAATTAATTAAAAAAATCCCACATGATCATCTCAATAGACAACAAAGAAATCATTTGACAATATTCAATACACATTCATGATAAGAAAAACACACTCAAAAAACTGGAAATAGAAGAGAATTTCCTCAACATCATAAATGCTATCTACTAAAAAATATAAATAACATTATACAGAATGGTGAAAGATCAGATGCTTTCCCTCTAAGATTAGGAACAAGAAAAGGATGTCTGGTTATGTCACATCAATTCAACACTGTACTAGAAGTTCTAACGAGGGAAATAGTCAAGAAAAGGAAATAAAAGTAATCCATATTGGAAAGGAAGAAGTATATCATTTGCAGATGACATGATCTTACATAAGGAAAATCCTTTAAAATCCACAAAACACTACTAGAACTAATAAATGATTTAATACGCAAAACTTAATTCATACATTTGCAATGAAAATTCAAAACTAAAAGAACACAATTCCACTCATAATATCAAAAAGAAAAAAATAAATTTAACATAAGAAATACAAACTGCATACAGTGAAAACTATAAAACATTGGTGAAAGAAATTCAAGACTTAAGTAAATGTTAAAACATCCCATGTTCATAGATCAGCAGACTTAATATTGTTAAGAAGGCAATACTTCCTAAAATGAACTTACAAGTTCAATGCAATTTCTATCAGAATTCAAAATGACTTTTTGGTAAACTTTACAAGCTAATTCTAAAATTCATATGAAATTGCAAGGGATCCAGAATAGCCCCCCTCAAAAAAATGTTGAACAGAAACAATATAGAAGGAATCACACTTTCAAAACTTACTTTCAAAGCAAACGTAATCAGAACAGTGTGCTACTGGCATGAGGACTGACATAGATAAATGGAACAAAACTTGGGGAGTCAAAATATAAATCTGTCTCTTTGGTCAACTAATTTTCAACAAGGGTGCCCAGAAACAATGAATGGAGAAAGAACAGTCTTCTCAGTAAATAGTGTTTGACAACTGGATAGCCACAGCAAAAGACTGAAGTTGGATCTTTAACCTCATAGCATATATAAAAATTAATGCATCAAAATGCATCAAAGCTAAATGCATCAAAAGCTAAAACTATATAATTCTTTGAAGGAAGCACAGGAGTAAATATTCATGAACTTGGATTTGGCAATGGTTTCTTAGATATGACACTAAAAGCATAAGTAACAAAAGAAAGAAATATAAATTGGACTTCATCAAAATGAAATACTACCTAGAAAGTGAAAAGACAACCCAAAGAATGGGAGAAAATATTTACAAAGCATATATCTGAAAACAGCCTCCTAAGCAGAATGTTTTAAAAAAAAAATTTTTTTTTTAAAAAAGGTCTTTCAAATGAGCAAAGGACCCAAATAATCATTTTTCTAAAGAAGATATACAAATGGCTATGAAACAACGGTCAAAATCATTAGTCACTCAGTCAGTCAGTTCAGTCGCTCAGTTGTGTCCGACTCTTTGCGACCCCATGAATCACAGCACGCCAGGCCTCCCTGTCTGTCACCAACTCCCGGAATTTACTCAAACTCATGTCCATCGAGTCGGGAAATACAAATCAAAATCACAATGAGATACCATTTCACAGCCACTAGGATGGCTGTAATTCAACAACAGAAAACAAACATTGATAAAGATGTGGAGAAATGAGAACCCTTGTACAATGCTTCTTGAGTGCAGTCAGTATAGAAAACAGTTTGGTCGATCTTCAATACATTAAACTTAGAATTGCATATTACACAACAGTTCCATTCGTAACTATCCAATATATCCCAAACAAGTAAAAACAGATTTTTAAAGAAATAAAAACCTGTATACAAACATTCATAGCTGCACTGTTCACAATAGCCAAAAAGATAAAACAACTCAAATACCTATGAATTAATGAATGGATAATCAAAATGTGGGTATTAACCATAAAACAGAATATTATTAGGTCAAAAAAGGTTGTACGCTTGCTACAACTTGGATGTAGCAGTGACACTTGCTACAACTTGGATGAACCTTAAAAACATGCTATGTGAAAGAAAGTCAGTCACAAAAGACCCACATATTATATGACTCTATTTATATGAAAGGTCCAGAATAAGTCAATCTCAATCTATATAAAGAGAAAGTAGATTAGTGATTGCTTAAAGGTAAAGTGGTAGAACGGAGGTTAGCAGAGTGATAGCTAAAGGGTACAGTATTTCTTTGGTGATTAATATGTTCAAAAATTGACTACAGTGATAGCTGCACAACTCTGAAAATATACTAAAAAACCATTGAACTGTACACCTTAAGTAGGTAAATTGCATGTTATGTGAAGTATATCTCAACAACACTGTTTAAAAAAGAAAACATTTGCTACAACAGCAGCAACAAAGACCATATTTATAGGGATAAGGACAAAAAGAAAGTGCAGAAAAAATACATATATATTAGGGTTGTGAGTCCAGGTAATTTTCTTCTTCTACTGTTAAAATGTTTATATGTCTGAATGAACATTTTAAAAATTATGATATACAAATGTAACTCACCTTTATAAATGAGAGGCTTATCTTTATCTTCTGTCTTCTCCCTACTAGCCAATTCAAGAAAATCTTCAATCAAGTCCAGAGATATGAGAGATTGGCTGAAAACAAGGCTGAAAAACAAATCAGTGTTCATAGATTAAAAGAGTAACAAACTCAACACATTTCTAATCAAAACCTCAGTACGACTTTTTTGGCAGAAATTAACAAGCTGATTCTAAAGTTTATATGGATAGCCAAGCACAAAGAGTAGCCAAAACAATTTTGAAAGGAAAAAAGTTGGAAGCATAACTCTACATGATTTCAACACAAAGCTAGTATAATCAAAATAGTATAGTACTGACAAAGAAACCAACACAAATCAATGGAACAGAATATAATCCAGATATAAAGCCACACTACAGTTAACTGGTTTTTGACAAAGAGGCAAAAGCAACTCAATGGAAAGAAGTCTTTTTAACAATAGTTTTGGCAAAACTGGACATTCACATGCTAAAATACAACTTTCTGTCTAAGCCTCAGCTGCATAAACAGGGAACAGAAGAATCTAATTTGACAAGTTTTTCTTTAAAAGAAAAAAAAGTCTTAGCTGACCATAAGTCAATATGAACCAATAATGTTATTTCGAAGTTGGAAAACCATTCTATCAGATTGCAGGAATGGAATGACAGGATCCAGAGTAAATAATAATCAGACTCACTATAATTATGTGTTAATAAAAACTCAGCTGTAGTGTTTTGTTTACTGTGACAATATTTTGAGATGAGTGCTAAAAAACTGAAGCATATTCATGACCATTCAGGACTGAAATTAAGCCATACAAAGAATAAAACAATCAACTGAGAAGAAAAAGCTTACAGTGACAAGAGATAAACCCGTCATTATCTGAAGAGGAGACAATTGAAATAGTAGTAGTGATGTCTGCAACCTACTTTGAAAAGTATCAGGAAAATAAGATGGATAGAGGGATTGATAGATAGGTATATAATAAAGTATGATAAAATATAGTATAGATTCTAGGTGACAGGTATGTAGGTATTCTATTTATTCTTTCTGCTTGTTATGTTTGAAAATTTCCATAATGAAACACTGGACAAAGAATAGTGGTATTCCATTGCACAGTTTTATGTCTTAATGTTGATAACATTTATCACTTGCATTAATAACTAAAAATGATCATTTAACAGTATTTTTAAAAAGCAATAGATATACTCTATTTTAGACCAGGGGAAAATAGCTATAGGAATACAGTACAAACTAAAGATAAGCATACATTTTCTAACACTTTGAAGTATTCAACTCTAGGGAGCCTTCTGAAATGGAAAATATTCTACTCAGGAGAAGCTAGGAGAACATCTATGATGAACATGGTAGAAGATATTCCTTGTTAGGAAATTAAAAGACTACTAAAAATCTCCTATACACTCATAAAATTCTTATTTGGTATCCAATAAAAATTAACTTTAAACTATAAAAGTTAATAGAAAAAAAAAGCATGAGCATGTCTAAAGCATCAGTCTCTTCTGAACCTTCAGGAACTTGGAGCTCAAATATCTACTTTCTACTTGACATCTCTCATGGACATATAATATGCCTTAGAAACTTAACAAAACCACGGCAGAATTCTTTACTACCTCTAATAAACTTAGTTCTCCCTTAGTCTTCTCCATTTTAGTAAATAACAATGTAATTCACAGGCACTTAGGGGGAAAGCCTGGGAGTCATGTTTGACTACTCTATCTTACTGTCCTGCATTTAATCTACCAAGTATTGTTTGTCTACCCCCACACACACTCTTTTATCTCCACTACTACCATTCCATTCCATGCCAACATCCTCCCTCATCTGAACTACTTGTTTCTGTGCAAGTGGCAATATGTAACAAAAATAACTTTCAGTGAGTACTTTACTTGGTGTCATGTACAGTGGTTAATAAAAACCAACATTTTTATAGTTAACTATTAACTCAAACAACTCACTATCCAGCAAAAAGATAAATACATTAGAATGTGCTAAGAGTAGAGTAGAAGTATATTAAAAGGTGGTATGAAAATATAACAGAAATCTACCTCTTTCTAGGAAAGTTAAAGAAAGTAAATTAAATTTTTTTAAGATAGGAGATTTTTTTATTTTAGCCTTATGTTAAAGTGCTTAAAGTTTTTAACAAAAAAATTGTTATATTACAAGCATTATATTTTTAAAATATTTTATGACCAGAATATAGGGCCTTATAACAGCCTAAACGATAAGCGTGGTTCAAAACTTTAAAAGCACATTTTTAAATAATAAAATGAAAGATAAGATTGGGGGATGGAATCTAGGGAAGAGAATAGGGGCACAAATGCTAGAAGTAAAACAAACAGGAACAAAAAACAATGGAGAAATTATAGAGAGTAGTCAAAAAGGGGTGAAATAAAGTCTGAGAGGTATCCACTAGATTTGGAAATTAGAAGGTCAACAGGTGACATTGGGGGCTTCCCTGGTGGCTCAGCAGTAAGGAATCCGCCTGCCAATGCAGGAGATGCAGGTTGGATCCCTGGGTTGGGACGATCCACTGGAGAAGGAAATGGCAATGCACTCCAGTATTCTTGCCTGGGAAATCCCATGGACAGAGGAGCCAGGTGGTTATAGTCTATGGGGTGGCAAAAGAGTCAAGACACAACTTAGCAACTAAACAATAACAACAACAAAGTGACTTAGGCGGGGGAAATCTCAGTAAAGTAACAGTGTAGAAACCACACTGCATGGATTGAAAAAAGATTCTGAAAATGATGAAATATAAATACCAACTAGACACTTGGTTCAAGGAAATAAGTTCAAGATTCTACAGCCAGAAGGGGAAAACGGCACTGAAGGAACATCCAGAATATGCACTCAGAAATAGTGGCTTTAGAAGGAAGATAGTTGTTACTACACTAACCAAGAAATTACATTTTTAAAAAGGAAGAAAACAAAACAGATTTAAGTAGTTCAAACAATAAAAAGGTTATCAAAATTTTGTTTAATATAATAAAAATAGGAAATAGGAAAGAACTTACACTTTATCCCCAATTTCCTCTGCCATTCGAAGAATTTCAAAGAGAAGTACCATTTTTCCAGAATGCTCTAAAACCTCAGCATCAGCATCTGTAACAAAATCTTTGTACCAGTCTGGAGCTGGGCTGCTTGGATTAGAAGAAGAAGTAGCTTTACCTAAACAAAATAAATGAAACATAAATAAGTAGGCAAATAAGGGAAGAAACTGAAAGACTCCAGAGTGGGATTAAGAGATTAAGAGAAACAGATATAGACCAACCAACTCAGGGAGAGACTGAGAAAGAAAGAGACTGGTATCGAGAGAGAGGAAAAAAGACAACCATAGGAGAAAAAGAGATCTACACTCCAAGAGAAAGACAAGAGGTGGGGGAGGTGAGGCAGAGAGGACTCTGGGAAAAGGAAGTAAAGAGACAGAGAATCAGACATACACAAAGGCACATAAAAATACACACATATGCACCCAGACATGGGGGAGGGCCTCCAAATACAGAGTAAGCAAGAGACAGACCCTGAGAAAGTGTAAGTATGAGAAACAGAATTTGGGGTGGGGGGAAGGGTTCAGAAAGACAGAGATCGAAAGAAATTAAGTCCCCCAGACCCTGAGACAGTATAATCCCAAAGCACACCCTAACAGACAGGGACCAGGAGAAAAAGACCTAGAGACCAAAAGAGAGAGGGAGAGAAGGGAAGAGAGACTGACTCGGAGATCAAGAGAGAAAAGATCTTAGGGGCAGGAAAACTTTCACTGTGCTAGAATTCTGGAAAACTCAAACAAGGACTGATCCCAGCATCACCAACTCATGTTAAATCATTTTGCTCTTTAAAAAAAGAAGAAAACATTATTTTGCTCTTATTTTCCCCATAAACTTTGAATATAAAAGGTATGAGAAGAAAGTAACAAAATAACCTATGAAAGATAAACAGTTAAGTTTCAAATACAGAATGTACAGGTTTAACACATTTCTGTGCCTTCTCAGATACCATTTAATGCAAAGTACTTTAAATTTTTACATTGTTTGTTATAAAGTATTCTACATATTCACAAAAGTATATAGAATATAAAGAACAATAGTGTTCACACATTGCATCTTTGTCAAATTTTAAAACTTGTTAAATCTGCTTCTGATGCAGTTGAAGCATAATACATGACCCTACCCAATGCTATTCTCTTATTTGCCACCCTTCTTTCTGAGAGGTAAATAACCCTAAATTTTATATGTGCATGTTACTTTTTATGTGTATGTTTTTAAGTTTTCACTAATGTATGTCACCAAACTGTATATTATACTTCATGTTTTTAAACTACGTGTAAATGGTACATATGTGTAATTATACATGTATAGTTTTACTTTGGCCACCTGATGCAAAGAACTAACTCATTGGAAAAAGACCCTGATGCTGGCAAAGATTGAAGGCAGGAGAAGAAGGGGACGACAGAGGATGAGATGGTTAGATGGCATCACTGACTTGATGGAAATGAGTTTGAGTAAACTCCGGGAGCTGGTGATGGACAGGGAGGCCTGGAGTGCTGCAGTCCATGGGGCTGCAAAGAATCAGACATGACTGAGCGACTGAACTGAACAGATACATACTTTTATACTGAATATACTTTTTCACTGAATATAGTTTTCATTTTCCATTCAAAGTGAGACTGATTCAATAATTCTGCCATATACAGTATTCTACTACATGACTATACTATAATTTTTTAGTTCTCCTGGTCACAGACATTTAGGTTCTTTTTACTATGAAATAACTGCAATAAACCACTCAGTATTCTATTTTTCTAGAATGTATATATCTCATGGAAGTTTAAAATTTTCTGGTATAAAGTTATGCTTATGATTTATAAAATATGACATTAAACAATCCTACTTTATAAATTGTTTACTATCTCAGGTTCTTGATATTCTGATCATGCTGTTTGATTTTTGTGTGAACTTTGTCAGGTTAACTAATAACTTTTGTTGCTAACTTTTCCTAATGCTCACTGTTTCTTCAGGCATTCTATGACTTTTTACTGTCATGTCACTTTCAACGTAGCTGGAATAGGTGAGAATCCATGGTAGCCTGGGTTCAGTTCAGTCAGTTCACTCGCTTAGTCATGTCCAACTCTTTGCAACCCCATGGACTGCAGCATGCCAGAATATTCTGTCCATCACCAACTCCTGGAGCTTGCTCAAACTTACGTCCATCGAGTTGGTGATGCCATCCAAACATCATATCCTCTGTCGTCCCCTTCTCCTGCTTTCAATCTTTCCCAGCATCAGGGTCTTTTCCAATGATATAGCTCTTCACATCAGGTGGCCAAAGTATTGGAGCTTCAGGTTCAGCATTAGTCCGTCCAATGAATATTCAGGGCTGATTTCCTTTATTTTTCTTTTCCATTTATTTTTATTAGTTGGAGGCTAATTACTTTACAACATTGCAGTGGTTTTTGTCATACATTGAAATGAATTAGCCATGGATTTACATGTATTCCCCATCCCGGTCCCCCCTCCCACCTCCCTCTCCACCCCATCCCTCTGGGTCTTCCCAGTGCACCAGGCCCGAGCACTTGTCTCATGCATCCAACCTGGGCTGGTGATCTGTTTCCTTTAGGATTGACTGGTTTATCTCCTTGCAGTCCAAGGGACTCTCAAGAGGCTTCTCCCAACACCACAGTTCAAAAGCATCAATTCCTCAGCACTCAGCTTTCTTTATGGTTCAACTCTCACATCCCTACACGACTATAGGACGGACTATAGCTTTGACTAGATGGACCTTTGTTGGCAAAGTAACGTCTCTGCTTGTTAACATGCTGTCTACATTAGTCATAGCTTTCCTTCCAAGGAGCAAGCATCTTTTAATTTCATGGCTGCAGTCACCATCAGCAGTGATTTTGGAGCCCAAGAAAATAGTCTATCACTGTTTCCATTGTTTTCCTGTCTATTTGCCATGAAGTGATGGGACCAGATGGCATGATCTTGGTTTTTTGAATGTTGAGTTTTTCTACTCTTTTTCTACTCTCCTCTTTCACTTTCAAGAGGCTCTTCAGTTCCTCTTTTCTTTCTACCATAAGGGTGGCATCATCTGCATATCTGAGGTTACTGGTATTTCTGCGGGCAATCTTGATTCCAGCTTGTGCTTCTTCCAGCCCAGCATTTTGCATGATGTATTCTGCATATAAGTTAAATAAGCAAGGCGACAATATACACCCGTGATGTACTCTTTTCCCAATTTGGAAACAAACTGTTGTTCCATGTCAGGTTCCAACCGCTGCTTCTTGATTTCACAGGGGCCAGGTAAGGTCAGTATTCCCATCTCTTTAAGAATTTTCCACAGTTTGTTGTTATCCACACAGTCAGAGGCTTTGGCGTAGTCAATAAAGCAGATGTTTTCCTGGAATTCTTTTGCCTTTTCTATGATTCAACGAATGTTGGCAATTTGATCTCTGGTTCCTCGGCCTCTTCTAAATCTCGCTTGAACATCTGGAAGTTCTCAGTTCACGTACTATTGAAGCTTCACTTGGAGAATTTTGAGCATTACTTTGCTAGCGTGTGAGATGAGGGCAATTGTGCAGTAGTCTGAACATACTTTCTCATTGCCTTTCTTTGGGATTGGAATGAAAACTGACCTTTTACCAGTTTCCTGACAACAAGATGGCAGGGTAGAAGGATGGGTGCTCATCTTTTCCTGCAAGAACTCCAAAATTGCAATTCAGTGCTGAACAACCATTGACAGGAGAATGTTGGACCCCACCAAAATAAGATACCCCACGTCCAAGAAGAAAGGAGAAGCCCCAACAAGACAGTAGGAGGGGCAAAATCACGTGTAATCAGACCCCACATCCGCCAGAGACACTTGAAGGGCTCAAACAAACCCTTGAGTGCACCAGGACCCAGAGGCCCCTCAGAGACTGAGTAAGACCTGCCTTTGAGTGTTTGAGTGTCTCCTGTGGAGGCAGGGGTCAACAGTGGCCTGACATGGGGACAGGGGCTCTGGCTGCAGCAGACCTGGGTCACACAGAATGTGACATAAGCCCTCTAGGAGGAGGTTGCCACTAGCCCCACCATACAGCTGCCGAGAAAAGGACACACAAACTGCAGGACAATTATACCGAAGAAATTCTCCCACTATTAAGAAAGTTCTACAACCCACAAGAGATTTCCCAACCTGGAGATCTTGCAAAGGGACCAAGAACCCCCAGGGAATTTGACTTTACAGGCCAGTGGGAAACTGAGCCAGATATGCCTGTGAGTGGAGGCAGGAGTTCCCTCAGGCCAAACAACAGGGAGGGAACACAGCTATGCCCATCAACAGCAAATTGGATATAAGATTTACTGAGCATAGTTCCACCTATCAGAACAAGATGCATTTTCCCCCTCAGTCAGTCTCTCCCATCAGGAAGCTTCCATAAGTCTCTTATCCTTATCCCTCAAAGGGCAGACAGAATGAAAACCACAATCACAAAAAACTAACCAAACTAATCACATGGACCACAACCTTGTCTAACTCAATGAAGCTATGAGCCATGCCGTGTAGGGCCACCCAAGATGAACAGGTCATTAAGGAGAGTTCTGACAAAATGTGGTCCACTGGAAAAGGAAATGGCAAACCACTTCAGTATTCTTTCCTTGAGAACCCCATGAATAGTATAAAAAGGCAAAAAGATAGGACACTGAAAGATGAACTCCCCAGGTCAGTAGGTGCCCAAAAAGCTACTGGAGAAAAGTAGAGAACTCCAGAAAGAATGAAGAGACAGAGCCAAAGCAAAAACAACACTCAGTTATGGATGTGACTGGTGATGGAAGTAAAGTCCAATGCTACAAAGAACTCTATTGCATAGAAACCTGGAATGTTTCCATGAATCAAGGTAAACTGGAAGTGGGCAAACAGCAGTGAACATCAATATTTTAGGAATCAGTGAACTAAAATGGACCAGAATGGGTTATGTTAAGCCTGGGTTAACATCATACAATTCCACAGTGATTCTGCATCTGCATCTGTCAGGTCTTCTAAGAGGATCACCAACCCAGAATTACTTTTGAGGTTAGTATTTCACCTTGAGATTTTTGGACTATGTAGATAATATAAATTGAAACCATAAACTATGTGAGGGAAAGCCCATGATCATGAATCCAAGGGAACTACTTTTGAAACACTCAGCCCAGGGT